GGGGTGGGGGTCGTAGCTGCTTTTATCCTACAGTGTCGCGGCCAAGTCAGCCTGTGGCCCACAGGAAAAATGATGCAGCAGATTCACTTGTTACCTATGCAGACGTATATTTTGGCAGCTTGGTTGTCTTTCGTCGCAAATCCCCACAGGAAATCAAAGGAGCGGTGAAGGAAATATATTTTCAAATTTCAGTCACACAGCACCTTGCATAGTTTGTGTAAACAAGGACATATGGTTATTTTTGTTTGGTGTGGTAATCACAAATCGCCTCCTCAGAAGTGAGGACAAGCTTGGGACAGAGACCCGTGAGGTTTGAACCGATTTAGGTCTTTAGAAAGAGAAGCAGGTGCGTACCATCTTTAGGATTTCTGCTGTGGTATGGCAACAAATAAAGCAATTGTATATAATTTCTTCTTGATGGAGACTTTCTGATACTATTTCAAAACTACAGTTGCAATGGGTAATCCAGAGATCTACTGATAAAAATGATATATAAGAAGTTAGTCTGTGTTCCTGTCCTGGCTGAAAGAAAGGAATAATAGCCTTCTCTATAACTTAATGGCTTTGAAGAATCCTAATAATGGTTATGAAGATCACAAACAAACCTCTAATCTCTTAGAGAAAGCTGACAAATGTTAGTGGAATTTATAGATTTTTGTTGTTGTTGTTTAGTGGGTACAGACCTCAGGGTAAGGTTGGCTTGGTTGGAGGTTCTCTCTCCCTCTCTTTTTTCCTTCCCTTCCCCTTAGCATGAGAGTTTCATTGTATGCATGGTGTAGTTGCAACAGAGGAATGTGTGATGTTGATTTGGGAGCTGCACAGCTTCTCCCCTGCCACATGACACAGTGCGTTAATAGGCTCTCGTACCTTTTTCCCTAGGTTAATCGGTGTTTAGATGATTGAGTGGGAAATATTTGAAAAAAACAGCTGAATTCCTCTCGAAGTTTTAGAATTTGAACAGAGCTGCTCAAGCCATTATTTTTCCTAGTGAATTACTGTTTTTTACCAGAATATAATTACTTTTCTTTCTCAAATATTTCTTTAAGTTTTAGCAGAGGGCTGCTGTTTTAGTGCAAGACGTTTTTTACAAAGTCATCTAGAAGGAGCCAGAGCTGTCAGTAAGCAAAATTATTTCCATAACTGGTAATATTAATTACCTAAATTCAGATTTTCAAGATACATTTTATTAGTGTATAAAATAGTCTGAGCTTCAAAATTCGTTGAAGTATGTACTCTAATGCCCAAAACTTATGTCCCTGTGGAAGATTAATGGAAAAGACCTCTCGTATTCTTAGTGGCTCCGGGAAAGACTGCTATCATTTCCAATCTGTCTTTAGACAATGTCATGTAACTATACTGTGATGTTCCCTTCTCTATATCGTATTTAATATAATCAATTTTGCTTAGTAAGAGCACATGGCAGTGAGTTGGAATGTGTTTAGAGGTCACGTGGTGGGACTTAGAAAATTTACTTTGAATCCCTTACATTGGGTGAAGATATTATGCTGCTACGCAGCCTTCAGTTCCTATGCCAAAAAGTACAAAACCATTTATCTACTTTCTGCAAAGCAGTCTTGTGAGCACTGATTTAAAAAGAAATCAAGCTTTATTGTTTCCAAAGACTTTAAAGTTAGAAAATCGCACCTTGTTCCACATCAGATGTTGAGAAAAGGATAAAAGAAGTATAAATGACATTCCTTCACTTGAACAGACTATTTTTTCTAAAATGTAGTGAAAACACTAGTATTTGTTTCAGACCTGGTCTGATCTTTCTCAAACCTTTTGGAAGTTGAGAACTGTAATTTATATTTAGAAAGGAGACTAAGACTCCAGCAAAGGAATGTAAGACTCAAACCAGTCAGTTTCCTAGTAAGGATAGCAGCCATAGTTTGGGAATCCTAGTCATGCACCAAACTTTTTAAAACTATCGTATTCATTTGGTCAAAAGTGAAGATAAACTGATCACTGGCTGGTCATCAGCAGAACTGGCCTAGTTGTATGGGTATGCTGTTTGAAGTTAAAGTGACAGCTCAAAAATTGAAAGTTATTCCCTCAGTTTGGCCCATTGGCAGCTATACTGTTTTGATTGTTAACTTCATAAAGATATGGCTGCAAAGCTGTTCTTTAAGAAAAATCTTTTCGTGTGGTTGCAATCAGAAGGTGCAGTTTGAACCTAGTGAATCCCATTTATTAAAATCCACAAAGTGGACTCAGAGAAATATATGACAAAGGCTTGGTCTGGCCATCAGCATTTCCTGCAACAGATAGGATGATGTGGGGAGGAGTTAGGCATAGGACTGAACCCTAAAGAAAATACCTGTGTTAGGAGTGATTTTTCTTCTTTAATCTAGCTGACAGATTCCATTCGTAAAGCCATTCTTCAGATCTGCCCTAAGGCATGCGGCATTACTTCTGCACAAGTGTGAATGTCTGGCAGGTTTGAGTTTGAATGCAACGTCCTTTCAGAATTTTCTAAGATGCTTTCTTACTCATATTCAGAAGGAAAATTATGAAACAGTCTTTTCGAAACAAATATTTAATTTCAACAGGAAGCTTGTGGCATAGCATGAAGGTATTAAATTCTATTGTTCAAGTGTATATGTCTTACGTAGACTTCAATGGGGTCCATTTTATTCAGGTCTCTTCCAACTTTTGTGTTGAGTTGGATGGGTAGATTGACAACTTTCCTTTTCTTTCTCCCCTATTTTTTTTTTTTTTGGATTTCTCCTGTTACATGGCTGAAACTGTTTGTCTGGTCTAGTACAACTCAGCATCACCAGATTGACTTTTACTACACTCTTAGTTGAGGAACTAAATCCTGTAGTATTGTTTTTGACTCATTCGAGTTGTAATGCTGTTATAGCATTATCAAGTCAAGGTTTCTAGGAAAAAATATTTCTGCTAGGTGAGCAGATATTTTGAGGGAAAGCAGTATACATGCCATTCTTCTTGAAATGAAGTAGCAAGTTGAAAAGTTGCTCTGAGTTTAATTTGATAACCTTTCATTGGTTTGGGTGATTAGAGAGAAACAGTGGTTGGTACACGTAGTTTTTTTATGTTTTGATATTGAGATATTATAGAACATTTGCATTTCTGTCTGCTTTCTACCTCTGCGAGTCCCATAGTACTCAGAGCAAACAGAGTTAATCAGGAGGAAAAGAACATTGGTTTTGATAATATTCACAGGGTATAGACAGATGCTGACTATGTAAACAGCTGGTCTGGAGGAAGCGATTACACCTACATTACACCTACTGGCCCACCACCACCTTCTACTTGTTACTGCTTGTCTGCCGTAAGTTATTGCCTCTTCAGGTCTTTTGGTGGAGGTGTTTATAAAGTTGCTGCTCTACCAAAGCCTGTCAAAATTAGCCAGGTAAACCTAGGTGAGTGGTTTTCAAGTCATGATTTGTGGAATGCATTTAAGGGCTCTGTGCAAATTAACTCAGAAGTTAGAAGTCAAGCCTGCTGTCAGGAGTTTGCACATCAATTGAAAATGTATTGGGATCTCCAAATCAAAAAATACTGAAAACTACTGACATAGAACTACTGACTTAGAACTTCAATTTAAATAGAAAATTTTGTTCATTCAGCCAACAGGATTTGATCTTTCTTGTTAACAGAAGCAATACTACTATTAAATATGAGAGGATAGTAAGTTTTGTAGAAGAGGCATTGATGCTGCACTGAGAACAGCGACTTAACACAGCTTTCTCTAGAGAAGGATTTCTGTTCTCAACTTTATACTGGCAGACTTTTTTTCCCATTGGAGCAGTATATTTGTTTTGGGGTACAGATATTGTCTTTATAGGCAAAATAATCACATCCTGCTGTCTTGAACAGCACCTGAATGATAAGAAAATGTCAGGGCTGTCAAGCCCCTTTCTATTACATGGAGAACGTAAGTGTTTATTTTGCATACTTCTGTAACGCACAGAGTTGTGTCATAAAAATAATGAATTCATTCTGTAGAATGCAAAACCCCTTGTGAGGTCGTTGACTGGAGAGCAGCCAGAGCTGTTATGTAATTGAGATAGGAAAGGATCTTCTGATAGGTCATACGCTGGCAAGAGATTAAAGCTGACTGAACTACAGGGTTCCTGGTTCATAGGAAATTTCATTCGCTTGATTAAAGTCCAAATCAAACTGAAACCTAAGCTTCCAGAAATTTCATGAACCAGGACCTTCCCTGACCTTATGGTTGCCCAGTATTATTAGCATTATTGCTGGTTTCTCCATCCACCTTAGTGAATTGCGTTGTGCACCTGATGGGAGGAATCAGACCTGCCAGGAAGGTTGCTGAATGAAAGGTTAGGCGTTGGGGGAAAAATTTGGTTTTGTGAGAGACTGGCTCATGATGTGTAAGTAACAGCCCTTTCAGCACTATTAAACAGGAAGAATAGAAGACACCGTTCACTGTGCAAAAATGGGGTGTGAGCATATAGATTAAGTTGCTAAGTGAATGAGAAAAAATACCTTTTCTGGCTGATGGGCTTGGTAGCTAATGTAGTTGGAACAGACATAGGGCAGGAAGAATTTGAAATATCTCAAACTCTCATTTGTTCCTTGGTTGCTTGGTTCCAAAAAGAAAAAGACATTGATAGGACTTTAAGAAAGGCTATGGTACTAATAAGTCTGTTCTTCTCTGTGGATGAGGCTGACAGGCTTAGAGAAAATGAAAGCTCTTGAGGAGTTCGCCTATCGAGAACTTTTATCAGGGTACAGATTTGTCAAAATTCACAAGTTTTACAGAGCTGTTTTTTTTGGCAAAAGTGTGAAGAAAGGCAGGCAGGTTGGAACTTCACCATGTTTTCTGGCGACTTGATGCCTGACTTACTGGTAGCCTACAAGGTAACTTTCTTTCTTTGCTCAAACCCTTCCAGGACGTCCTGGCTCCTTATCCACAACTCACTAAGTAGAGTTTTGTTGCGATATTGCTTTAAGAAACACTTCTTTCCCTTTGTGTATCAGGAAACGTTTTTTTCTCTCACAGAAAACTTCAGAAATTTTATTAGCTCCAAAACTACACTTTTATAACCCAAAGCCCCATGCAAAATGATGTTATTCTATACAGAGCTCTACAGAAAGGATGAAATATAAAGACATGTTATAAGCCTTGTACTTTGGTAATAATGGTAAAATAAAAATTATAGTAATTCTGTGAGATAGTTCTTGTATCCTCCAAAAAGAATGGGATACAATTCCACAGCGAGAGAAGACGCTGGCTCAGCATAAATAGGACCAAAAAAAAAAAAAAGAATAGCACAGCGTCTTTGTGGTTAGACTGTATCACAGATGGAACAAGCTGTTTTTCTAATGCAGTTGAAGTCACAAACTCATTCGCAGGATGAAGGAGACAAGGGGAGTGGCTAGAACTGGTGATTGCACAGAGCAAAAAATATGGAAGGTATACAGTAAGATTTGTAAGACGGCAATGACACCAATGTCTAGAATGTCTTGGATGTAAGTAAATGCATTTTTTAGAAATGAGCAAATAATAAGAAGATGTACAGAAGAGTTAAGGTGGTCAGAGGAGAAAATGATTTTTGTGGCAATTTGGACCACAGCGAGGAGTATAAGATGAAAGAGTAGATAAGTCATACATTTGCTTTGATAAACTGTATGTAGAAAGGTTAAGAATTAGTTATTGTAAGAAAAGACACACGAGCCTTTATAAATGCTAAGTTTTGGTAAATAAGAAAACTTTTTTATTATATGGCTGATAGTGCACAAAGGCTATAAAGACAAATTGGGAATATGTAGGCGCTATAAGTGAAAATCTTGGCGGTGCTTTGATTGTCAACAGCTGTTAAGATCTACTTAAGATCCCTAAGAAACAGAGTTAACAGAACAGTTAATAGTTTTAAAGTGAGAAGGATGGTGAATGATGATAGTGCTTTTTTATGCCTCTTATAGATAAATGATGTAATACATATGGATAAAAGGCAAGCACACAGGGAAAAAGATATTGGGAGTGAAGGGAGATGTGTGATAGATATGAGATGTTAAGTCTGAGAGTAAGTAGAAACTAGGCTGGATCAGACATACTACAATCTTGGTTGAAAGCTTAAAGGAGGGATGTCCATATGAATTGTAAGGGAAGGGCATTGGGTGGATGGGTGTTTACAGAGATTGTCCAGGACATGGTTGCTGTGGAGAGCAAAGGAAAAGTAAGAAAGTAGGGTTGCAGATTGGAGTAGCCTTGAACCCAACTGTACTGCAAATTGCTGCTTTCTGAAATTCTGCCTGAGCTGACTTTTTATAGATTTTGTAGCAGTTTTAAGAAAGAAAGCCAGACCAAAATTCTTGAGTCTATTATACGCTAAACAGCTTTTAGCATCTTGATATTTATTAAGCATTAAACAACTCTTTGATGAAAAGAAATGACGTATTGCTTTAGGCATTGTATATATTTTTTCTCTATGGTTGTGTTCTGTCAAATTCTGTATAATGCTGGTTTTGTATTGTCTGTCCCAAATTTGTATTCGTGCTAGTAGGTCACACATGATTTTCTTTATTTTTAGGAAGCAATTTGAAAAACAGTGCAGTGGTAAGCTGAGACAGTTCAAGCTCTCTTTCAGAACCCCGAAGAATGTGAAATAAATCCAAGATATTTCTTTTGTGTGGTTAAATGGTACCATATCCAAGTATGTTGTTTTACTGTAGTGGTTAAATCATTAAAACAACTAAAAACAAGTGCTGTTGCAGTGTGCTAAGATGCATGTGATAACACTTCAAGTTAGAGGAAAATTTAGCTTCTAATATGGATAAACCTGCACAAACTCATTAAGATAGTTTAAATGATTGGTGATACTTCTTATTAGGACACGTGCACAAGTGAATGAATTGACACTAGTGCAAACTTTGGCTGTAGTACGGATTAATGGAGCTTCATTGCTAAATTAATTGATGCTGGATCAAAGTTAATAGGCATGATGTGCATCTGAGCCTTGGACATGAAATACATCATCGTAATGTACATTTAACATTGGGTTCAGAAAGACCTGGAGCCTTGCTGTGAGATACAGGGGAAACCCCAATTTTTAAGAGCTGTGGCTACATTTATACATTTTTCTCTCCCCCCCACCCCC